AGGAAACCAGATCTGAAAGAGACACGTGCACCCCAATGTTCATCACAGCACTGTTTATAATAGCCAGGACATGGAAGCAACCTAGATGCCCATCAGCAGACGAATGGATAAGGAAGCTATGGTACATATTTTTTATATTAATTAATTAACTAATTAATTAATATTTATAAAATAAATATATTTCTTTATATTAATGTCTGTTACTTAGTAGATAGATCCAGTAACTGTAAAAGAATCTCAACTAAGGACTGCTTAAAGCAGACTAAAGTTTCTTTCTTTCTAATTTAACAGACCAGGTATGTGAAGTACAGATACTGATATAGAATCTGTTCCAGACTCCTGCCTTTCTGTTCCTGTATCCTTCTACTCTTCATAAGGATGTTATATTTCTGTAAGCAGAAGAGAAAAAAGGGGATGAAATCAGGTATGCTTCTTTTTATTTTAAGATAACTGACTGGAATTTATACACATCACACCATCTCACATCCCTTGGCCAAAACTTAGCTCTATGGCACCATGCATTTGGAAAGAATGCTAGGATATAAGTGTGGTGTTCTGGGAGAACACACACCCTCACTAAATGTATATATATATATATTTATATTTTTCTGGAAAATATATATATCTATTTCTGGAAAAATGTATTTCTAGGCAAAAATTGTACTTACATGGAAGAAGGAGAAAATAAATATATAAATAAATAAACAAAATAAATAGTCCTGACACGTGGTGAACATAAGAATCAGTTTTCTAACATGAAGTCAAGCTTGCATATCTGCAGTAAATGCAATTAGCTCATGCTGAACCATCACTTCTTTCAGCAGTGTTAATTTGCTTTGCTGCTACTTGGGAGCAAATCTCTCTTAGAGCTTGGCCTACAAGATTCCTTTCTTATTCTGTCCTGGCCCATTTTAGTATCAAAGTTATGCAAATATTAAAAAAATTAATTTGGGAGTGAAACTTTAAAAAAAATTCTTTTTGATATATGTTAGAGTTTTTTTCTTGAACTTAAGTCTCTTTAATGCTTGAGGCTGCACTAACAACTTAAAATCACTTTAGTGCTTTTTTCTGTCCATACAGGTGTCCTGTATGAACACAAACTGAAGTAAGGGGTGATTGTTTTCCCTCTCCTCCAGATGCCAAGTTTAAGCCAGGTTTTATTTGTTTTTTTGTTGGTTTTACTGACACATTCTGCTTAGCAGTTTTATTTTCCTTTTATCCGTATGATGCCAATGAAATCTCTTCCCGGAGTTATAGGAGAAGTTTCTTATTTTGGGTCCCTTGCCCTAGGTTAGACTGTATCTCCTTATTCTCATCCCCATGCAAGTATCAGAATAGAAATTCCAGGTATCCAAGTTTTTTCAGTAGTGAATAATGTGAAGGCAGCCTTCCTTTGTCATTGTTGTTGAGTTACTAAGTCATATCTGACTCTTTTGTGACCCTATAGACTGTAGCCTGCCAGGTTCCTCTGTCCATGGGATTTCCCAAGCAAGGTTACTGGAGTAGGTTGCCATGTCCTCCTCCAGGGGAGCCTCCCAAGGTAGGGATGGAACCTGTGCCTCCTACATCTCCTGCATTGGCAGGTGGATTCTTTACCACACCTGGGAAGCCTTTCACATCCACTAGCCATGGATAAGAGCTCCTTCATGTATATTAACAAAATGCTTTATCAAAAACTTTTCAAAATACAGTAACTTTATGATTCACATTATAATCATTGTTCTAGGTGTCTATTTCTCTCCATAAATATCATTTCTGAGAACAGAGACCATATTTCACCTTGGAATCTCTATAAAAATCCAATACTATAACTCATTAATGTGTCATTAGTGGCCCAGTTGTTAGAGTCCTCCCACAATACAGGATATCCAGGTCCCATCCCTGGGTCCAGAAGATCCCCTGGAGAAGGAAACGGCAACCTACTCCAGTATTCTTGCCTGGAGAATCCCATGGACAGAGGAACCTGCCAGGCTACAATCCAAGGGGTCACAAAGAGTCTGACAAGACTTAGCACCTAAACCACACACATACATTTATTGCATTCAATTATATTGACCCCTTTCTATTTCTTTTACATTACAACACAATAAACTTCAGATTCCTAAAGGTATCCATGTGAAGTGTTGGGAGATATTTTCTATTAACACCTAGACTTCAAAATAAAATAAAAAATGAAATTTAAAAAATAAACTGAAAAGCATAAAGGACACTACAAAACAAGGGGATTTTTCTGAGTGGAAGGATTTAAACTAAAAGGCAGAGTCTCTGTGGGCCTCTTGGAAATATGCAGCTGTACTGCTGGCCACAGTCTGCAGTTCAAGAGATATTTTCTAAGTCTGTTGTTGTTATTAATTTGTGGAGAAGAGGTCTCTGCAGAGGAAAGAAATCCAAGATTTTTTGTTTCCTTTTCCATCACTCACAGTCACTGTAATGTCAACACCATTTAGGTCAAATTTCAGGCATTCAAAATGTGCAGCTTTGTCCAGCTGCAAGGACTAAAACTCTTCTTGAGCACTGCAGCCTGACCCATAAAATATGTCTAAGGGTGTTAGTAACAATTAGCAGGTGTGTACCTTCACCAGAAAGCTTGCATAAGACATTTTATGCATAAAGTAGTATATGTGGATTTAGTAAGAATTATGGAGAGGCAGATATATAGGTTTTTTTTACTAATGGATCTTAAGGAATTGAAATGATTCAACCATCATAAATTAAACCATGTAAATATATGTTACAAAAGGACACCTCCCCCCTCATCCTAGTCAGCATGCTCATTGGATAAGGTCACAGCTCTGCTGCCCAAGAGCCTGTCCATGAATCTCCTCTCTTCCATTCCAAGGAGAATTAAAAATCCTCTTCAAGCCACTTAATGTATCTAACTTTTGGATTCCTCACCTATAAAGTGGAGATAATAATACAACTGATGGATGATATTTTGTGAAAATTCATCATGATAACACAGGTATCAGTTTTAGCCCAAGATGAGCAATCATTAAATGTTAGCAATCATTTGTTTTTATTTTTATTATATATATATATATATATTTTTTGGCTGCACTGCACAGCACGTGCAATCTTAGCTCCCTGACCAGGGATAAAACCTGTGCCCCTGCAATGGAAGCATGGAGTCCTAGCCCCTAGACTTCTGGGAAAGTTGTAGCAATTACTTTTTAAAAATTATTTTAGGGACTTCCCTGGTGGTCCAGTGGTTCAGACTTTGCCTTCCAAAGCAAGGGGGTGCAAGTTCGATGTCAGGTAGAGGAACTAATTTCCCACATGTTGTGCCATGTGGTGTGGCCAAAAGATTTTTTTTTAATGGTCTGCTAAAATTGTTTTATTATGGTTAAACCACAGACAGACTCTTATCCTTCCACCTCGTGTCTTCTCATCCATCTTTGCTCTCCATCTTCATCATGTTCTTTAGCAGCATATCTGGTCACTCCTTTTCTGGCTGGAAGCCACACCCTTCCTCTCCATTCTGCCAAAACCCACAAGATTAATCAGGTCAGTAATGCACTTACAACATGCCTAAATCTACCCACTCTTTGTTCTTCTGTTATTTCCATTTTTTCCAATTCCCCACATTTCCATAACCCTTCTTGCCCACTTTCTCTTCCACATTCAGAAACTGAAGCACGTCACTAGGCAAGTGACCAAGTCAACCGACCTCGGCTGGGCTCTTGTTGTATCTCAGCAGTTCCTTTATTTATCACTTGTTGACTCCCCATCGCATTCCTTGCTGCAGCTGTTCCTAATATTTCCATTCTGCTCAAGTCCCTAGTTCCAGCCCTCCTCCTTCCCCTCTTAGCACTTAACCTCACCTCCTACTGAGAAAATTGAAACCATCCCAACCTAAGTTTACACCATGGCCCTCCTCTTCTACTTAAAAAAAAAAAAATCTGTGCATCTCTCTTGTTGCTCTGCATTGAATGAGGAAATGGTTTTCTTTGCAGGGAAACAGAGCATCATATTCTGATTGAGAATCTGGGCTTGGAGTTGGATCAAGTTAGATACTTTGTGTTGACATAGTCAGACATTGACAAATGTTTCAGTTTCACAGCCTCAATATTACCGTCTCTAATAAGGAAGTAATAATTTCTACCTTACATAGTAGTAAAGAATAATTAAGTGTTTGGCAGTTGGCAAATAGTAAACATTTAATAAACTATTATTTTTGGTTGGAAAGCCCAAATTCTTAACCTGCATTCTTAAGCCTATTAACCCTAATAATTATAATGATGATGATGATAAAAGTAAATAATCTCCATGCCTTTCCCATTAAGTTAGTTATTCAATTATCTCTTTTCTTTCTCAATTCTTTAACTAATCCAGTTCATTGATCAAGTCTTACTTTTTCTTTAAAAGAAAAAGAACTGCCTTCTGTTTAAGCTAAAATCCCATTGCCCCCGAACTTTTGACTAGTGTCCTTGAAAAAGTTGTTACCCTAGCAGCCTTTTCCAAGTAGTTCTTGAAACCATTTAAATATAATTTTTCATACTATTCAACCCGTTCCTTAAAAAGCACCATTGGATGCATGCTCATTCAGCATTAGTTCCTCCATCTCCAATCTCCAACTCCTCTTATACAATAGCTCTTGTTCTGATTCACCCATTCTCTTTCTGACGTCTGTAACTTTTTACAAACCTCATCCTCTTCTTCTTCCTTCATATTCTTTACTTGCTATTAGTATTCCTTCTATTGCCAAAGTTTAGCCATTCTTCCGCATTTTGTCCTTGGCTTTATTCCTGTATTTTCCCTGAGCAAGCTCTTTGATTCTCATAGTTTTAATGATAGATCCTCACAGTGTCTCCTCAGACCCAGGAAATTTTGTATTCTCTGCAAAAAATTTTTTCTTAACAATATAAGAGTACCTGTAGGGGTTTTCAGTTTTTTATTTACCTTAATGTCTTTTTTCTACTTTTTAAGCTGCATAATTCTAATTGCCTCTAAATATCTACACCTTAAAGTCCTACCTAAATTAAAATTGAACATAAAAACATAAATTTAATCTTTTGGAGAATGGTTCTTCCTTTCCATTTCTTTCTTTTCAATAGTTATTTCATATTCCAAGTCACCCAAACTTAAAAATAGTAAAGATATTAAATAAGCAAGAAATATTCATTGATCCCTATTCTTTGACAGATCTGGGTACCAGCAGTGAGCAGAAAAATGTGGTTCATGAGTTCTTAGAGATTAAAGTCTAAAATGAAGTCGCACATAGAACAATTAAAACAAGTGTTAATTTTCTAAACAGAGAGTACAAGATGCAATAAAAATTTTATACACCAATGAGACTTAATTAGTCTGCAGAGCTAATGTAAACATATCACTAAAATTTACTGAAGGCAGAGTTCTGCATGGGAGGGAAGTAAAGGAATATGAACACTAAAGTCAGAAAGCAATATATGTGTGAATTTCCTGGTATAAGATGGGAGAACTGATTAACTAGTGGAGAGTGGTTTAAAAGGAACTAAACAGAAATTTGACCTTACAGATTTTCTAAGCTATGTTAAATTTTAACATTTATTCTAAAAGGCAAGGAAAATCATTTGAGACTTTTAAGGGAAGGGCTAACGGGATCCCATTTGTATTTATTGTTTTTATTTCTTTTCAGCTTTATTAAAATATAATTGACATATAACATTAACTTTATTGTGTACAATGTGTTGATTCTATATACTTAGATAGTGCACTATGATTACGACCATACCATTAGCTAACACCTCAGTCATATGACATGATTGTCCTGTCTTTTTCTGTGATAAGAATATTTAAAATCTATTCTCTTAGAAATTTTCACGTATTTAATACAGTAAGATATAATCACTATGCTGTACAGTAAATCCTCAGAATGTATTTGTCTTAGAACTGGAAGTCTGTACCCTTTGACCAACATTTCTCCTTTTCCCCCACCATCTGGCCCCTAGTAACCACTATTCTACTCTGTATTGCTGAGTTTGGAATTTTTGGTCCCACATATTGTCCTTTCTCTGACTTATCTTACTTAGCAGAATACCCTCAAAAGTCTACTCATGTTCTCAAAAAAGTCAGAATTTCCTTCTCTCTTTTGGATGAATAATAATTCATTGTATACACACGCATCATCATCTTTATCCATTTATCCATTGGTGGACTTTTACATTGTCTTCTTGACTATTGTGAATATGCTTGGCTATTGTGAATATGCTTCAATAAACATGGGAGTACAGATGTCTCTTCAACATCTTGTTTTCATTTCCTTTGGCTATATAATCAGAAATGAGATTGATGGTTCATATGGTGCTTCTATATTTAATTTTTTTAAGGAAATGCCATACTATTTTCCATAGTGGCTGTACCAATTTGCATTCCAACCAATAGAACCCAAAAGTACCCTTTTCCCCATACCCTCACCAGCACTTGTCATCTCTTCTTTTTTATGGTAGCCAATCTAATAATTGTGAGATGATATCTCATTGTGGTTTTGATTTGCATTTTCTTAATAATTAATGATCACCTTTTCAACTACCTATTGGCCATTTGTATATCTATTCAGTTCTTCTGCTCAATTTTTAATTGGGATTGGTTGCTATTTCTATTGAGTTGTATGAGTTCTTTATATGTTATAAATATTAACCCTTTATTAGATACATGATTGGAAAATTTTTTCTCTCATTCTGTAAGTTGCCTTTTCATTTTTGTTGATTGGTTCTTTCACTGTGCAGAAGCTTTTAGTTTGATGAAGTTGTACTTATTTTTGCCATTATTGCTTGTACTTTTTGTGTCAAATCCAAAGGGGAAAAAAAATTGTCAAGATCTATGTAAGAAGACTTCCCCCTAAGCCTTCTCTGAGATTTTTGGTTTTATGTCTTTTGTTTAAGTCTTTAATCCACTTCAGGCTAATTTTTGTGAGTAGTGTAAGATGCTTTCATGCTCTGTTATGTCCAATTCTTTGTGACCCCATGGAATGTAGCCCTCCAGGTTCCTCTGTCCATAGGATTGTTCCAGCAAGAAAACAGGAGTGGATTGCCATTTTCTCCTCCAGGTTATCATTTTGACCCAGGGATTGAACTCATGTCTCCTGCAGCTTCTGTGTTGGCAGACAGATTCTTTGCCACTTGAGTTTTCTGGGAAGCCCAATATAAGATAGATGCAAATTATGCATGTGGTATCCAGTTTTCTCAACATGATTTACTGAAGAAACTATCCTTTCCCGATTGAGTATTCATAGCTTCCTTAACAAATATTAGTTAACTATATACACATGGCTTTATTTATGGACTCTGTATTCTATTCCATTTGTCTATATATCTGTTTATTATGCCAGTACCATACATTTTAATTAATATAGCTTTATAGTATGATTTGAAATAAGAAATTGTGATTCTTTCAAATCTGTTCTTTCTCAGTATTGCTTTGGCAATTCAGGATCTTATATGAGTCCACACAAATTTTAAAACACTTTATATTTCTGTGAAAATTTTCATTGGAATTTTGATTAAGATTACATTGAATCTATAAATTGCTTTGCATAATGCAGATATTTTAACATTTTAATTCTTTGAATCCATGAGCATTGAATACCTTTCCATTTATTTGTATCTTCTTCAATTTCCAAGATATAATGCCTCATCTTTTTTAAAAATAATGTTTTCATATATTAAATGTGTAATTTAAAATTTATTTATATGTGTATAAAACCTATATATTTATATGTGTATACTTTTTAAAGATTATGAAAATTTGCCTTAAATTTTGAAAAATTAGCTTAAAATTAAAGACATCTTGATTCCTATCTTAAATAATATCTCGCCACCATAGCAAATATTGCACATTGCTATTGTCTTTTTATACATACCAAAAGAAACAGATTTATGTTTCAATTAAACTATGCTTTTCTATAGGCAAAAATAAATTAGCATTATCATTTAAGATTTTCATCATTAGAGTATAGAGTATAGATAACAAATTGTTGTTTATTAAATTAATTGAATCCTGAGATATCATGGAATAAACATAACATCATAACATCATAAACCAGTACATCTTTTAAAATGATAAAATCCATAAAGAACCAGGGAAAGAGATAGAATAGTCTTAGTTAGGAAGAGCCTGGTTCAAGACAACTTGGGTGCAGTACTAGTTTAAAAACTGAGTGACATGAATCAGTTGCTTAGGGTTTCTATGCCTCATTTCCTTCACAATTAAAATTTGAATAATAATAAAGCACAGGTTTTATATGAGGAGCTAATGAGAAAAATCTTAAATCTCTTACAACCACACTGAGTAAGAGTTTGATGAAATTGGCTGATTTTTTTCTTTCTTTCTTTCTTTTTTTTTTTTTTTTGTAGCATGACCTTCCAGGGAACTTATGGGAATATGTACAAATAAAGCACAGGTTTTATATGAGGAGCTAATGAGAAAAATCTTAAATCTCTTACAACCACACTGAGTAAGAGTTTGATGAAATTGGCTGATTTTTAAGAAAGGCTGATTTTT